TTTAGATTTAATACAATTCATTTAATGATTATATTATATAATATGACATAAAGAGCTATAATAGGCATCAAATATATAAAAATCCAAATGAATTTTTTTTGCTATTTTATTAATTAGTATTTTGAGTAAAATATTCCAAAAACAAGATTTAGTTATGTTTTAGAATATTTTCAAAAAACTCATGTTAAATATAATGTACCAGTAAAATGATAATATATTTTACATTGTAACAATTACATTTACTTAATTAAATAATTAATAATTAACAAATAATTAAAATAATAGATTTAATAACAATAATAGAATCGACAAAAGTTATCATAACATAATTATTTTGTAAACACATTAATACTATTATACAATGTGTACATCATATCAAAATGAACAATATAAAATAAATAATACAATCAAATATTAGAAAGAGTCTAAATCCAAACACATGGACTGATTGTGCATATCGTGAGGCACTCTATCAAAGATCTCATTGAGGAGTGGACTCACATCGGATGGCAAGGCATTCAAGAAGTATATCATTAGCTGTTGACAGAACCTCTTCGACTCATTCATGCTTTTCATAAGTGTTGTAAACTTGGATTTGGCCTCAATTTCCGAGCCGTACTTCAGCTTTAAATACCGTTTCAGTAAATACTTGTAAATCTCGCGTTGAAGTCTATTAACGCATAAAACATAACAACAATTTAAAATAACTATCAAATCAAATGCAATTCAATTGCCATCACCTGATGTTTTTCCTATGGACTACATCGACACCACTTGAATCAAACAACGCAATCACTGTTAACTATAATTAAGGTAATAAAAACATATAATCAATATAAAATTCATATGATCACCATCGTCAAATATTCATATTACCAAATCCAGAATTGTTTGATCGGAATCAACTTGTCGCGCATAATTATTAAACATTTGTCTTATCGTAAAATACATATTATAGCCAGTGTAGTCTTGAAATAATTTCAAATCAGCCCGAGTGCTACAACTATTCTGTATTCAATTTAATTCAATTTACATTAATCATCATAAATTAATTAAATATCAGCAAAATAATTATCAAAAATATACAATAATTAAATAAATACCAGAGGAATGACCAGATTCTCGGACTCGTAGTCATAGCAATGAACGGCACGGATAACACTCATAGGAGTGGCCGCCGACTTGAGGAGCGAGATTTGATCGCTTTTGCACAGACTTTGATAGGGATTAAACTTTTTGAATGCCAGCACTACTTCTCTGAACCCTTCATCAAACTTATCCATCAAAGCTTTAATCACATCCAACTGGTTGTATAACTGAACGCTAGTGTCGGGCATATGTATACGGAAAAGACCCGTAACGTCCATCACTTCCGTAAACTTCATGCCCTCCATCGAAGTGAACGTATCGTTAGGTATGTGTCTCGGCATTGATGTCACCGACATTTTCATCAATTCTTGGCCACTATTGTGCGCAACAGGTCTCGTATCCAATAAACAACTCTCGATTTGTTTGATCTCTAAATCAAGTTTCTCTAGACTTATGTCTTTGTCCTCTAATATGTGCACCAAATCTAATGTCTCCACACTTTGTGCGGCAATCGATGGCTGATTAGCCGAAGCGGTGGCCGCCGTCGTCGTAGTGTCCGATTCACTACCATTTATAGCATCACTTTTACCACGTTTTTGCCGATTATGCAGTACTTTACGCCTCCTTTTCTCTTTCTCGTCAGCATTTAATATCCATTCCTATAAATCAATACAACATTACATCAAATCAATTGATTTATAAACAAACAAAAAAAGTTTGAAACAAAAGTTAATTTTTGTCAATACTTTTCTCATTCCGATTGCGAAACACTTCCTTAGTCTACATTTGCGGCAAACAGTCCTCATCTCGACATTCATCGGGCATTTGTCGCCGAAATAGCACTTCATTTCCTATGAAAACAAGACATCACTTCAGATCAAACCAGGCTATAGCTTTCGCGTTTGTGACGTCACACAATACAAAGCGTTTCTCGACGTCTCTATCGTCTCCTGTGTCACCATTACGTACAATAATTGGTGAAAGTCTAGAAGTGGTTCCCGCGTATATTTTTCATTAATCTTATGTGAAATTCAACGCTAAACACGAATTTAATAATCATTTTTTTGTATCTATAATATTTTTTAAATTATTCGACAAAACTTTTTATTCAAAAATAATTTATTTAAGTAATTTATTAATATTATACATTAAATCGATGTAGAATTTAACGCTAATTACGAATATGAAATCCAATTTATGATTTAAAAGTTATTTCACTTTATACTCTTGTTTTGTAAAATTAACGTTTTTAGTGTACGTGATTTATTATTAAAATTGAAAATATAATGCATAGTATTAAGTAACATACATAATACAATAAACTGACTTTCGGTTTAGTCGCAGTTATAGTCCTTTTACATGCTAATATTTCAACATTTTAAAAAATTAGTATATCATATCTATTTGTACTGCATGCATCTCCATGAGTCACCGGATATTTCAAGCGTATAAACCCCTTCAACTGGAGTGGTGACAACTCATCCTCTCGTCAGTAATAGTGAAGTCGTTATTAGTTTTTATCTCAATTTTATCATTAGGTTTATTTGTAAATTTGTATTCATTTATTTAAATATTCAATTGATAGTTTTAACATTACTTAAAAGTGTCTCTCACTTGTGTATTCAGTCTCTTTGATTTCGTATTAATAAAAATGGTTTGTGTTTTAAATTAAACGTTGATCACAGTCTGGGCTCTGCCCTCACACACCGGTGACTCCTTCTGAATGGCAACGTTTCCGAGAATTTCAGTTGCAGCAACAGGGAGTAACTGTTTGTCGCCATTCCCTGACCATCAAAGCCACCGTTGGGTAACCGTTGTGTGAAACAAAGTATCGTTTCCGCAGTCGCATGTGGGAGTACGTGTGGAGTGTTTCAAAGATAAAAACTAATGACTGCACTATCACTGACAAGAGGATGAGTTGTCACCACTCCAGTTGAAAGGGTTTGCGAAAGCTATAGCCTGGTTTGCTTCAGATAAGTCTTCAGCAAAACCATTGAATATCATCACAAAAAGTCACCTCAAAATTGTTGGCATTTCTCCGGAAGAATGCTTTACACGACTCACAAGAATAGGCGCAGAAATTTCGGGCTAAATATCGACACAATTAACAAAACAAAACACAATTAAAATAAACAAAACAAAAGTTTATAAAACTTAAAAAACATGATAAAAATCACAGATAATTACCGATGGCTTTATCGCCACAAACACCACATGTCTTGTCAACCGATTCGGCCATCGCTTCCCGATATATGACCGCAAAAGTATTGCCACAAGAGTTGATCCCAATATAAGATATGTCACTTCACTTCACACGTGATAATAAAGGCAAACATAAACATTGATTTCACAGTTGTTTTGCACTTTATTTCCACTCAAAGCAACTCTGTTTAGGAAAACACCCAAAACTCAACCCAAAAGTGAACCCAAAAACTGACAGTAAATGCCATTCATTGCAGTGAAGGTCAGCCGCGATGTTATGCCTATTACTGTATTGTCAGACAAACTGTACTTTAAATTCAGTTTACTTTTCAATAAACACTCAATTATTTACTATTTGAATGCCATCTCTTGTCTGGGCTTTAATTTGAGCGCATTTTTTAATTCACAAATACTTGTAATAATTGGCAAATATATAGTTTTAGTTCATTTTAAATGCAATTAATATAAATAAATAAATATAATTTTACTTTATGGTAACACTTTGTTAATAGTTATTAATAGTGTTATTAATATTAATATACCGTATAATAAATATGCAATTAATGATTTCACAATTAATAACTAGTATATGTAATAATGATAAATATTAAGTTAATAAATAAAAATTAAATGTATATTTAATTTGTAAACATACATTTTCAAAAATAACAATTTCTAATATCAATAATTTAATTACAAATTTTCATCAATCATTTTTCATAATACAAATCATCTATAATTTACATTTAAATTGTGATTTACAATTTTAAACAAGATACTTTAATAGGTTTGTATTTGGGTTGACTTATTTGGGTTATAATATTTACGGTACTTATTTTTTTCGTCACAAATGTTAAAATGTTAAATACTATATGATTATTATTGTGAAATGATCTCGGTGATTAATTCGTGCTTATTCTTTGGTTCAATTGAGACATAATTGCTTAACATAACTGTTTTTACTGAATATAAGTCTTGCAGACAATTCATTAATCGTGTGAACCGTATCTCTGCCTCTGGTTTTGAGTTATGTTTTACCTCTAAATATCGTTTAAGTAAATACATGAATGTCTCCCTTTGATGCCTATAGACAAGCATTACATTTATATTGTTAGTTAGTTAGTTAATAAATAAATTATTACCATGATCACTTACTTGATTTGATCTGGTTGCTTCAAATTTGGTATATCAGAATTAAACAGTATTATACCCGTTAACTGTAAAACAAGTTTTTACTTTATAATAAAGAATATAACAAATATTGCATAACTATTAATTACCAAGTCCATTATATTCATCTTTGTCATACTCTTGCTTAAGTTTAAACATAAATCGTTTTTGAACATCATAAAAATTCAATTTGCCGTATTTTAAAAACTCTAAACGCATCATGGCCGCATTCTCCGAGTCCTATAAAATAACCATGGTTAAATATAAAACTGCATAATATTA